CAATCTCAATTCCCCCTGATCCAGCCGAGGCACTATTGGATCCTAAGCCGGACTCTGGATACCCGCGAGAAACGGGAACCTTAGCTGTCTCTTCCCTGAGTTCTTCCTGCAAGCTGCTAACCTCAGTGAACCCTTCTAACTGGATCTCCAAGGCACGAACTCTGGAGGTGAGGGACTTGATCTCACTTCGGGCTTCTTTCAACTCGGCCAAGGCACTCCGAATGGTCTCTTGCAATCCCTCAATCATGCAAGACACGATGCAAAGGACGAGGGCTGCGATACGCGGCCAAGGAGAGTGCAATCCAACGGGTCCAGCGGAGTCGAACCAAAATGAGAATGTCCAAAACAGGCCAGATTGCTAGGCCACAAATCAACCCGAACAGAAATGTCCAGAACCAAATCTCACCAACAACCTCAACCCCAGAGCAGTCGCAGGACAAAGGGGGCAAAAGTAGGTCCTCGGGAGAACTCAACTGTTGCAGCAGCGAAACAGCAAGAGTCGTGAGTGATCCTCCGGCAGCGCCTAGTGCTAACCGCCCGGGCATACACTTTGATTGGAAGCTGCGGGCCGGCGAGTGATTATGCAAACATGTATTATTATATAATTCCTTCCATTCGATGGTTGTAATCCCCATCGACATCCATTTGTTTTGTCTCTCCTAGTACAACAGCTCAATTGATGACAGCTCTTTTCCCACCCAAAGAACCCCCTCCCCGGACCCTCCCCCATTCCAGGACCCTTCACCGAAAGCCTCCCAGGCGCCCCTCCGCCTCCGCAGAATCTCGTCGCGGAGCTTGGGATGGATCCGTCCCAAGAGGGCCTACGGAGCCACGCGACGTCCACGGAGCGGAGTACAGGGGAGCTCTCAGAAGACTGGTGTCCCCCCAAACGGAAGCCCTACTAGGAACCAGGGTAACCAGGCAAGAGCAGGCAAGACTGGCAGGTCACGGGGTAAGGTTTGGCTGCAGGAAGCCCAAAGAAATAGTGATTTCGGCGATTACGGACATCGGAACCAGACTATGTGTGGAGAAAGAACGACAGAGTTCGGTCAGTGTTATCGGCCCCAATCAGGTAACAAGGGCACACCAATATGTCCAATAGACCACATCCTTCAGTAGCTCACTCTGCCTGCGCACAGGATAGCCCGAGTTTATCCACGGTTCACTTCTTTCATTGCAAAAGGGATCATCCGCCCCTTCTCCACAACTTCCGCCCGATCCGCTTCACTTCTTTGTTCTGTTTCCATCTATTTGCCCTCAGCTTCATGGTTCGCTCCACCGTGCTCCACCTCCGGCTTCCACTCCGACTCGGCGTCGAACCAGCCCAGCGAGGTCCTTGGAATCGACATGTCGAGAAAGTGGCGAGCTACGCAGACATGAACCCGTTTGGGCTCCTGGCCCACCTCCGTTTCGAAGATGGTTGGCGGGGCGGTCTAACCACCTTCTGAAGATATATGGGACAGGAGCCCTAGGGAGTATGAGTACTGTTCTCTGTATACGGTGGGAGTTGGATCCCTAGTGCCATGGCGAATGAGAAACTCCATCATCTCGAACCTGGCAGATCACGTCAACGGAGGTTTGTAGGCTTCCAAAAACGTGCTGCTGTCTGTTCAATCCATGGTTTGCAAACAAAGTGAGTGACATAAAAGTAACTCTTAAAATTATTCTGTGTGTTGGGAAGGTCAAGGGGCACCTCACGAAAGAACATCCACACAGCCGCCTCATCGGCAGAATCTCCCTCCATCCATCACATGGGTTTCTAAAGCCGCCTGACCTCAGCCGCCTGACCTCGTTCATGGGCTCTGGGCTGTCTGACAAGCCGCCGCCTGACCTCAGCCGAAACTGACCTCGTTCATGGGCTCTGCCGAACGCTCTCCGTGTCGAGCCCAGAATGGATGAATCGCACGTCATACCCCTAGACCTCCAAGTACCTTCTGAGAAGGTGTTTGGGGTGGGTTTGGCGGGTCCAAATACCTTCTAAGGAGGTGCTTGGAGGTGTAGGGACCCTATGCATCCACATACCCGAATGAGGAGGCGAGCTAGGAGACTTGTTTTGTAGGTGGGAGGGTCCAAGCATGTCCGGTACCTTCTCAGAAGGTGGCAGGGGATCCCTAGGAGTAGGTGAAGTCTCCTAGATTCTGCCAGGTCTGACTCCGTCTGACTCCCCCGATCTTTGGAAAACAAAGGTTTTGCAGGTTGTCCATGTACTTCCTGGGTAGGATGTCCATTCCCAGTTGACCACGTCATGTGTCGAACGTTGTTCACATGCAGCCGCTTTGAAGCAACCAACAAGGCGCATCCCTGAAGTGAAAACATGAATTCCTGTTCTTGGATAGTAGGTATACCTATACTCCCTGAAATAATCATGGAAGTGGCACACCAATGCAAACCACTTATTTGTAAACGACACATGTCGTCCAAGAGGCCATTGTCCACTATTTCAAGCAGTTGTTTCACCCTTCGAAACCACGTTAAAGTAGAGAACATATCGACAACCACCCCCAACGACTGAAGCTCTGCTGCTATCACCCTTAGCCCCGCCAAGTCTCCCCAAAGGGCCCAGGCGGCCTGGGCACGGGCACGTGGATTTAAGGCAATCTGCTGACAAACAACCACACAAATGGGAGTCTATTGGAGGCCCACACTTAACAAGCTTTGGTAGGGTCATCCATCCAAAAGACCCAAACTCTTTTAATCAGCGAACAGTCCCAGTCCGAGCCTGTCACGGTGTTCTGACCCCTAAGCTCGTGGCGACAAGAGGTGCATGGCCATCGGTGGGAGTGGAGATCAAGAGTCCTACCCTGTGGATCATCGAGCGAACCAAACAAAAACGTCATGCAAAGCTGACCCAGACACAGACTCAGACTCTAACCGTGGCTCACCTACTATGTCAACTGCCATTCGGTGCGATCGGGAGTCCAAGTATCTCCAAGAGTGGACAAGATCTTGAAATATGAGCAGTTAGAACTCCACCCTGGGCCCCCGGGACCCTTCAGAATTCATCAGATGCAGCGAGGGACTCCCTGGCTGCCAACTGGAATTCCCGTTTGGGCTCCTGGCCCACCTCCGTTTCGAAGATGGTTGGGGTGGGTGCCAGCGGGGTCTAACCACCTTCTGAGGATATGGTTGGAGCCCTAGGGATTATGAACATAGATGCTGCCAAACAAGGCCTCTGATCATTGACAAATGGAATGGATCAGTCCATCAAATCCCCCTTATTCCGGTCACAGACCCCTGCAAAAGCACCCCTGCACCTCATCTGCACCTTTCAGTGGGGAAGTCACAACCTTGGTTTTACATGCCTCCTTTCAATGCTGTTGAGTGTGGTCTTTTAGGGAACACGTTGCCCATAGGTATACCTAGTTTCTTTTTGACGACCTGTGCTGAATGCAGGTGATTCTACACTGTGTCCGTGGGTCTTTGTGACTCACATGTTTGCGGTGGTTGTCACGAGTCAAGATCGTCGCTGTCCGTTGCCTAAGACGTCTTCACACCCATGATCTATGCACAGCATCAATTGCAAAGCCTAACTCCACCCTGCAGCCGTGGTGCGATCAAGTCCAAGACGCGGCATCGGAACAGAAGTTCAGGCCATGAAGCTGTCTGATGCTACAGTTCAGTAGTGATCTAAAGACCTGCTTCCTCTGCTTCAGGTGTCAGCAGTGGACACCTCAACAAGTGATGATGATCCTTCAAGAATAGGCACAACCACCAGATCCAGTTCCACTATCATTACAACCAAGGAGGATAACTAACTCGCAGTTGAGCGATTCTTTTTTTTTTTTTCGGTGAGTACAACACTCACGTCCGTTGTGCACAAGACATTCGTACAGTCAGTCAGTACTTAAAGGGTCCGCAAGACATCCGTAGGGGCCACACCATCGAACATGATCAAAACACCGCCGCTCTGTGTCTATTGACTCGTTCCATCACTCAGCTTTCCTTGAGCCAAGAGGGAGGGTTTATGTTTTCCGCAACCCTTCAAGAGTTTTGAGGGATGTAGAGAGAGGTAGATGTGGGTCAGTACAAGACACCCCAATCACGCCAAATCCAAGTTAGGTTGACTTCCCTGGATGTCCTGAAAGTTTTCTCCTGTATCTCTCAAAGAACACCTATCTAGGCGGATGGACCTTGCACGCAAGCTATCTTGCAACCATTCAAACACTATCATGTTTCTTGGGAATTCTTTTGCCAGAAGGTGACTTGCTGTCACAAATGTTGCTGTCTTCGGAGCCCCTTCTGCCGGGTGGGGGATCCTTGATCACCTTCTCATCCACCTGATAGGAGTGGAGTCAGGAGCTACGCTGATCATGGGACCCATCAGCTGTCTTCGGGCCACTCCGAGTCGATAGAAACTGCTGAAAACCCATTGGCAACCCCGTGAACACCATATTGTTTTACACATGTTGCATCATTTTGCTACATCTTCAAATGGGTTACGCGCATGATTTGTGGAAATGATGAACCTCCCATGACGTTTGACAGTTTGACTTCCCATGAACCCAACAGTTCAAGTGACATTATGGGACCCGTCACCTGGGGTACGTATGGGATAGTCTATCCCAGACACTCCATGGGACTGGTATATTTACCGATCAGTTGGGGTGGTTTTGGGGGTCAATGTAGGCATATATGGCAGTCCCATGGAGTGTCTGGGTATAGTGTTCTTGAACCTCTGTTGGACCATCCAAAAAGCCTTTTTTGTTTTTTTTGGTAGGGGCGCAGGGTTCACTCTCTCTCCCCACGCAGCGGGAGGCCCCTGGCTGCGGCCAGAGATTCGCCATGCAACGCATGACACTTGGTTAAACCAATGAGCGGGGACCAGGATATAAGGGATGATTGAATTCGCTATAGGAAGCTTTTTACGGACCCAGTATGGCACATGCAGGAATTCAGGGAACAATGAGATGACCAGAAGAAGCTGGTATTGGGTAGGAATTCCCACATCTCCCGCCACCTCCGCCCGCCATGTCCGCACGCCATCTCCAAGGGCCCCGGACGCCGCCACTCCTTTGGGCATCGCGCACGTGGCTCAGGAGGGCCTGCGACACGTGGCCAGGGCACTTGTCAATACACCTATACACTCCCTGGAACTAACTTGGAAGTGGAAAATGGACCCTTCGAATCCTTGGAAGACCGTTTTCCGAATACCAAACCGGGCATTTTCCATTAAACACACCAACTACTGACTCTCTGTTGCATCATCGCATTTGCACAGCTGTTCACATCAGTCATCTGCTTCGATCGAATCCGTGAAATTCGGTGAAGACCTCTCTCCCCACTACAACGGACGGGCCATGGCTTGGCCAGTCTGAGACACACATGGAACGTTCCGGTGCGGTTCTCTCCGGTGAGGTCTCGAGTCCCGGTGACTCCCCGAGCAGGAGATCCCTGTGACTCACCGAAGGAACTCCACCTGTTCCGCAAGAAAAGAAGTGCGGACACTCACGCCAATCCGCCCCAAAAAAGATTAAAGGTTTTAAGAGGGTTTCCACTTGGATCCTGTGTATATAGGAATCCAATCTACCTTGAACAGCGCTCCTCCGCGTATAGCTGGAGTCACAAAGCATCAAAAGCAACACTCCGCACATGGATGCCCAATGACCTGGGTCCTAGGATGGATATCTATACAAACAAGAGGTGCTCCACTTTCAGATTCCACATGAGGGATGAAATAATGTATCATAATATATCTATCCAAAGAAACACCTCCCGCAAGCTCTACAAGCCCTGCATGGTCATCTACTTATATCTACTTAAACTTAAACCCCACAAGCTCTGCATGTCCAGCCTCCCCTGCATCGTCATCACTGAAAGCGTCCCATAGACCATCACTGGCCACAATCAAGGCATGCCCTTCCTGCGGGGCAAAGCAAAGGCCGAGACATTGGCCGTTAGTAACGGGCTGACCGTGAGGAGACTATGAATAATTGTCCAATACCACTAACAACTTCCATGGCTCTTCATTTGGTTTGCTCTGCGGGTTCTTAATCTTGTTGGAGACCTAGGCTACAAGCATCAACTCTCCAAGTGACCATTTTCCACTCCTATGTTAGTTCCAGGGAGTGCATCACTATCTGCAACATGTAAAATAATGTAAATAAGTATCCCGGAATCCATTCAAAAAAAACAGTGCACATAACTCTGCTTTTGGTTAAGGAGAGGAATGGTCCAATATGATACAGTAGGGCATCCTAGCTAGTAAGTGTGGGCTCAAAAAACGTTAGGATTTGCACCAAACAGGTGATCGCAAGTGACTGCCCTTGCTAATTTTCATGAGTGGTTGGCAACGCGCACAGTGATACTGCAGCAGCTGGTCTAAAGCGAGCCGCAGGACGAGTGATCCTGCCACAAAAGGGGTGTCGTTGACAAACATCTCACACTTCACATAGTTTTATCAAGAATTCCCATTGTGATTCTTTCATCGCTGCCACTCCTGTGTCTATTGCAGGTCTGAGACCCTGACGAACCTATTATCTATGAAGATGGTATGCCCCGCATCTGCAAACACCCTTGACGGCCCTCAAAGCCTCAGAAAACAACAGCGAATCGATTGAATCTATATCCTGGTTTTGCTTAAGGAGATTCTTTATGTTCTATGGGCCATGGGTAAGTTCCTATTGAGTGAATATATTTCCAGGTTCCTTAGGGAAATCCAAGATATTGATATAGGGATGGTCCTTTCTTTATGGGATGGCTTCAAGCAAGGCCGCATGCGCCGGAGCACGGTCTTCTTTTCGGACGCAACGTCGGACGCGTCCTCGGCAGTAAAGCTGCAAACATCCGGCACACCGCTCACGCCACATTCCTGGCGACAGAAACGTGCATGGCTCAAGACACGGATTGAGAGTAGATGGCGCAAGTGACCCCAAGGTCGGTTGATATTCCATCCCCATCTGTCGTCAAAGTGCCCATGGGGTTCCGTGATTCCGTGCCCACTGAACTTGTCTAAGCGGGGATTCCGCTCGGTTGGTCCATGTTGGTGGATCCTCGAAGCTGACAGCGGCTGTCGGACAACCGATTCGATAACTTCAATATCTGAAAATGAAAAACATAGTAGCGTCCTTGCTACTAGTAGATCTAGTAGTAATGGCCTCCGCCCTAGTAGCGATGACCTCCACCTAAGAGCGATGGCCTCCACCCTAGTAGCGTCCTACAATACTGGATCTGAACTTCACCCAGCTTCTTAGGGGAAAGGGGATGGCTGTCGCCTGTCGCATGTGTCGTTTTCTGCAAACACAAATTCGAAGCACGGAACATCCTGAAACATCTTGGCACACCACTGACACATCTTGGCACTTATGTCCGATCCCCAACTCCTGAAACGACATGAAAACGCCATGTCTTCACCCCATGTCTTCACCCACTTAGGAGAGATAAACAGAGAGCTCTGGTCACCCCCTCACCCCCCTCCCTCCTCCCTCCTCCCCGCGCGGGACCCGCAGCGAACCCGCGCGCCTTCAAATGATGGTCCCCCAGCGAGCGCGAGACCGACAGTTGGCCCGCCACTCGGCCGAAGCGGACGAAGCCGCCATCGTTCACCACACGGGCCGCCTGCGTGACACATGCGTCGTTGACACATGCGGTTCGGTCAATGCCGAGGGCACTGCCAGGCACTGCTTGATGCATCCAAATGGAGGAACAATGAACAAGCAACTGATGAATAAGTATAAGAAAATGTTGGAATCCAAGGAAGTGAAATAAATCACATTATGACATATTATGACCATATTGATGACGCAAACTATAAAGCTACTATAATCTAATCTTGTTTTATATAAAGGCTTGCTTCAGAGTCTAGAGGACTGGTATTGGACTGTTGTTCCCTGTTCAAAGACATATATATATATATATAAGTCAATTACGTTGTATCCAGGTGTCGTTTCGTATCATTTGGGACTCAGTTGATTTGGTGTTGATAACAAAATGCAGCCATTTGAAAGACTCGAAACCGTGCTATGGTATGTTAGCGGCACGGAAAAGGTTGCTTGGTTGTTAAAGAAATGGGAGCACTTCCTTACTTGGATTGTCATAGATTCGTCAATGATGGTGATGGTATGTGATGGTATGCGATAATTTTAACATTACCTTAGGTTCCTACAATCTGTGGTGGGTGAACCCTGTGTGGAGTCCCTCGTGAAGAAGAGCAGGGACAACATTGCTGCCACAGATCAGGACGCAGGACATGTAAGTGGAATCAAAAGGTTTTTAGCAGGATGCCGTGAGCAATGTACACCCTCCGTAGCCCAGGGACCTACAGTGGAGGTGAGATTCACTTTGGAAGGAATTGTGAGGTTTCAGCGTGTTCAAGGCTCGATCTCCACTTCTGAGACGAGCCGACCTGCTCCGAAGAGAAAGCGGCCCAACTATAACAATGCTAAGCGCAGATTTTTGGCCAAACGTTTGGATCGTGTGAAGTGGCTAGTATTTGATTCAGACATTCAGTGATTGCGGTGGTTGTTTTTTTGAGCTTTGTTGCAGCCTGTGATTCTGAATGTGGTTGGTGGAACTAGCTTGCCTATACTTCCAGCTATATACTGCCACCCAAGGCATGGCTCTACAGGACCAAGCCAATCTCGACTTCGGGGATTGATGGATAGAAACTGCAGATGCCACCGGAGGACGTGCTTTCAGCAGATTCGTTTCATTTGGGATAAGATTGTCCAGTTCCTGCAGATCTTCTGGTCTTTTTCAAAGTGTACACAAGACACATTTGTTTGAAACTCGGTTGGTTGAAAGTTGAAAGCAACAACACTGATGCGTTGCAGTATAATGTGTGGCAACCTGGGGTGGCTCATCACTTAGGTCCAACAAGTCATTGCAGAAGCTGGAGGGGATCGATTCGATTGGTTCTTGATGGATCGCCAGTTCGCACCGAAGTGTTTGGTGGCGACGTTGGGCATGGGAAACAGCAGGCTTCAGAGGATCAAGGATCATAGGGGTGACTTCCGTTTCAGGATCTGGGGCTCAGAGACTATGCTTTCAATTTGTCGTTTTCAGGTTTTAGGGTTCTGTGATGTTGCTTTGTTTTCAACTTGTCGTACCATTCTATTTTCAGGTTTTGGGGTTTTCAAGTTGTTGTACATTGTGTTGTCAGTTCTGTAGAGTTTCTAGAATCTAGATTGAGATGAATGATGTGAAAAGTAGGAACCAAGGCCATGAGACGAGCACCGATCAAACAAAGGATGATCAACCGATTTCTTGTGCAGCAATATGTCAAAGCAGCTGGGATGCTGCCAAACAAGTTGCTAGCCCAAATTGTTTCAACTTCAGGTCATTTTGCAATATTGTTCTGATACCCCATGACCAACGATTCTTGCTGCAGGTTTGGTCGCCCGGGCCGAGATCGAAAGAAACATGGGAGACCTTTGAGTGTGATTCTAGAAGAAAGACGGGCTGCAAGTGAGAGTGACTTTCCAGCAGCTTATTGTTAAGTTGTGGTGTTTGAATAATGAAGAGGACAACACCTTGGTCTGACATACTTTTTGCATCTTTTTGCACTCCATTGATTTTCAAAACTGGCTGGAGCATGTTGGCCTAGATCAGGTGATGGGGAGGGTGGTTCAGACACTGGCTCCATCAACGATGAAGTCAAGATAGCAGAGGAGACATTGGAGTCAGACCAGGAATTACGACTCCATCTTTTAGGTCACCAATCTCTCTACACAGAGTGGCTAGACGTGTCACTGATGTTGATTTACTTATGGTCAAGGTTTGGTGAAACCTGAACTCATGTTTTCTTCCCAAATCTGTGCCCTTTGTAAGGACAATTGAGACCAACTTCTCAAGTCCAGACCGTATCAAACTCCTTCCAGTGAGATGGCTGAGCCCTGGTAACATAAAAATGCTATGGTACCAAATGGGCGAAACGAACCAGATATCGTTCTGTGGTTGCACTGAGTTTTGTGAGTTTGTGACAAACTGTGACATGAATGGGTCAATGATTTGAAGTTAAGCTTCCATCCAGGTACCAGACATTCTGGAGGACCTACCAGGAGTGCGGCTGGGCGCACGTGCTCAAATTTTTACCACCGTCAACCCATGGATGCTGCGAAAGCTGCAGCAACTTCAAGGACATGTTCCGGTCGGCCAAGGTGACTGGGCTGGTCTTCAATGCAAATTCAATTTTGACAATTGTTAGGTCACACTTGGGTTTGGATGTACATAGTGCTTGGCGTAGCACGGAGAACTACATTCAACTGCCAAGGACATGCAGTCCAGGTATGACGTGGGGAAGCAGTTCAAAATGCATATAGACCTGGTAGGTCGTGACAGGGCACTGGAAGAAAGCCTCCAGGCCAGTTTCAAGTACGCTAACATCATTGGTTTGTGGATGAGTCACCGTTGGAATGCAGTGCATTGGGTTGTGGATGAGTTTGCCACATGCAGGTGATGTCACCGTTGGATTGCAGTGATGGCAGTGCTCCAATGGTGATTTTCTGGGAGCTTTGGTTGCAAAACACAGCTGATGTTTTGTATTCAACGTTCAATTTCATGACATACCTATTTGCACAGGGTTACTCTTAGGATGGAATGGATCAGGCTAAATGGAGCGTGCCCAGAGCCCGTGGTTTAAGCAAGGGGGCAATGATGCTCACCAAACCCCGCTTCAAGCTGCACGGTGTATGGATACAGAACGTATCCCTAGACATGTGGGTCCTAGACCCACGAAGCAGCGCTGATTCAAGCAGTGTCTTGGAATGCGCCTGTCGCTCAATACAGCGTGCCATAGAAGAATGCTTGAAAAGGGGCATCAAACCACCTACACAGTTGATCGTGTGGGTTGCTTGGTGCGCACAAAAGGTGTCTTGTTGGACTAACCCACAAAAGGTGTCTTGTTGGACTAACCTCAACGAACCTCCGGGTGGATCTGCCATCAAAAGAACTTTTTTTCCCTCATTGCACGGCTCCAGTGCGTGGCTCTTCTGCATGAAACAGTAAGGCGGACAATACCGTCCGAGAGACCAAAAACAATGTCGTGCTCAAGTTTCTCTCATGGTTGGTATGCTCCAATCGCTTTTCACTGACCGCCTTACTCTTCAGCTCCGTGGGGCACACTCACGGCCCCCTAGGTTCATCACTTAGTCTGATGTGGATCTGGAACACGCATGATGCGTTGAATGTTTGTTTTGAACTACTTCTCCAGTGACTAAGATCAAATCTTTGGGCTGCTCGCAACGGCCATGAGATACTGTGATGTATTGGCTGATGCTGCTGATGTGACCCTGAACATGGGTGGAATTAGGCATAATTGTGTGCAAGCCAACCTGTCGGACAATGTCATGCGGGATTTGGGGAAATTGTGACGGTTGACTCATAGCCAAGGAAGGTTGAAGCCCTATTACATCGCATTGGGCTCAGAAGCTGGATCGGAGAAAAAGCTGTCATCAGGGCAGAATATGTTTCAGGGGTTCGAGACTTCAAGCAGTGGCCTTTCGTCTGAACAAAGTTCAAAAATCATCAAAAATCAATGATATCAGTGTCACACTCACTCATCCATTAGTCTGTGAACATTGTGGAAATGCCAGCTTCTTGAACCCAACGCTCCATCCCAGGTTGAGCTCGGTGCCCGTGACATTCAGTGGCGGACTCAAGGATGATGAGACCGGATGGCACGCCTTCATCATGATTCAGCGGAAAGGCTCTTTCAAGGGTCAAAGGGGTCAGGTGGACTAAACCATCATCATGGTGGGGGATTTACAGTAGGAAGCTGTTTGTCCCCTGAAGGCTTGCCCAGAAATATCACAGTGGTTTCTTCTGGTCGGGGGGCAGCTCTACCAGATCATTGTGAAGATGTGGTCATGATGGTGAAACGACGGGCAGCCGACGATCACTTGGGCCAGGACATGTTTCTGTTGAACTTGATCAACAATAGCCATAGAACCACCAACATATGGAAGGACAGGTGTCTGCAAGTAAGTTTGAATTGAATGTGTGTTTGCAGGAACCCCTACTGGCTTTTCCACACCGGTACCTCCAAATGATGGGTCCGATTCCGTCAGAGCCACGGCCTTTGGTGAGTGTCTTGCCGAGCAAAAAAGAAGCATATTTGAAATTGGCATCGATTCTACTTGCCCAAAGGGTTACGACACGATCCACTGAACGATCAGTCAAGTTTTTGGTGAGCCTGTGTACAGATATGACGCCACAACCCGTGGCTGATCTTCCATGGTTTCAGGGGGGGTCCACTTCTGTGGACATTGATGTCATGGCGCCATCAAGTCTTGCGCGGCTTTGTCCGGTGATGAAGTTTGTAGGCAAGCTGAATCGCTAGGCTAGCTAGGGAACACTCAGAAACACATTCCTGGGGAAAAGATGTGAAAAAGGTTGGTGGGTGAATCTAAACTGTCATGTTTCGATGGAAGCAGCAGGCAGCACTATGACATACCATCAAACATTCTGGTTGAAGCCGTTTTGGCTTTTAGAAGACTGCCCGCTTTTGACAATACCCAGGCCAGTCCTGGACACACTGTTTCCCCAACAAACACAGATCACTACAAACTAGGGCCCCAAATCTTGCTGAGGCAGGCTGCAATCCTGGAGATGGTTCAGGT